CTTGGTTGTTAACTCTTTTGTGCCTGTTTTATTCCCTTTGTACCGTTTCTTTACAAATTCCTCCCTCTTTCTGGCCCCGGGATCCCCTCCCCCCGTTAGGCCTCAGCTTTCTAAAGATGCTTTCTTCTTGCTCTAGGGTCATTATGTGTTGTCAGAAAGTCAACCGGAACTGGAGGAAAAGCAGGCTTCTGCCCTCTCTGGGGCAGTCCAGGTTCAGCCAACTGCTCACAGTGACTTAGACCCTCAGACAACCAGCCAACAGCAGCCCACACAGTACATCATCACAACCACCACCAACGGCAACGGGAGCAGGGAAGTGCATATCACCAAACCTTAACCGCCACCCTTGAGCTAGAATCCAGCGGTCACATCATGTCTCTTCTTATTCATACATCGGAAAGCTTCTGACACTCACAACTCTTTTTTACCATCTGTCATTCACCTGAGAGTTTGGAGGTTACGGTTTTGACACTGGTACAATGGACTGGGGTTTATTTTTATCAAGGCCATCTTTACCAAAAGGATTCTGGGAATCGCTGGTGTGGAATGGAGATCTTTCAGTGGCAAGTAGAGTTCAAAATGGAGAGATTTTGCCTCATTCGTGAGTTGATTTTTTTTTAAATACATTGATAAGCCTTACTTTTCCTTTGAGGGACCGTTAAGTGGCGTATTGTGTTTGTGCCAAAGGTGGAGAAAGGGTGTGACAAGTCCATGGCTATGGACCTCATTCCAAGCCGTGGCACCAAAGGAGAAGGGGCATTTTATGGGTCTGTGTTAGGCCAGAATTGCTTCATCTTTTGAGTTTGCAGGAACTTAACCAATGGGGCCTACTGACTATGAAAATAACCACGATGGAACAAAGGGGGACAGTGATATTCTGAAGGAAAAACTGTCTAAATTTTTTTTATTGCTGAGTGAAAAAAACAACAACTTGCCCTTTTTTTTTTTTTTTTAAATCACTGTTGGGCTATTGGTAATACTTCCCAGAGATACTGCCCTCAGCACATAAGGCCCAGAGACCAGGTTCTGCTGGATCTTACTTTATCAGTCCACAATGGTGGACTCCCTGTAAGAAAAAGGTTGCCTGATGTCAGCAGAATTTGAATTTCTGCATTAAAGCATTGCCACCATTCTCTGATGTGGTGGTAATGAGGAGATACTAGAGACAGCTGTACCAAGTAAAATTGCGGAGACGATATAATATGTATATAAAGTGAAAAGCACTGAAACCTTGTCCTGCCTTGCAGGATCCATACCATTCATTGGTAAAGGGTGAATTCCTTTCTCTTAGCATTCAGTGTATTTTAGGATTTATTTTAATGCTTTCTTAAAATGAACATTCTTTAAGGTTGGATGGAAAGGGGCCCTCCTCATTTCTTACCACTCTGACCTTAAACATGCCATAACTCATCTGGACCCTTTGGTATGACCAACTTCACACTTGGGGGTAATATAAGAATGTGGGGACCATTTATAATACATCAAGGCAATGATTTTCAACCTTTTTCACCTCCTGGCACACATAAACTAATTATTAAAATTCTGTGGCACACCAAAAATTGTATTTTTTTGCCAATCTGACAAAAAAATGTATAATTTTAATTGATTTACAAAAAAAAAATAATAATAATTTCCTACCCTTATTGCTCGAATATAAAGATTTCTGGTACCAAGAGCTAACCAATCAGGTGAAACCTTTTTATGCAATGCAACCAATAAGATGCAACTAATTGTTATATGATCTATCTATCTATATCTATATATATATATATAGGGTGTTCCCCCCAAATGTATACATACTTTGGGTTTTTATAAAGGCAATGTTTATTATAATACATATTCCTTTCAAAATTGAGCTATCTGCTATTCAAGTGTGTATACATTTTTGGGGAACACTGTATTTATGGTTCAAGTCAGAGTATTCATACCAGATGGCCATTGTTGTATTGTCATTTTACTTATTTGACAATCTGAGAAGAGGTCAGTGCCCCTGACTAAATAAATAGTCAGGAATTGAATGTTTTTCAAATTCTTCTTGCAGCACACTGGTTGAAAATCACTGCATTAAGGGATCTGGGAGAAATCCAATCTTTATGGCTATTACACTATCTGTAGAAAAGGGAAAAAAAATCTGCCTCAGTAATAGTTTTGCTTATATGCATTCCTATTTGTTAGCTATGAATTCATTGGGGGAAAACATCTTCCTCTTTTTTACTATACATTCCAATTGTACACAGAAAACGCTGCAGAGATCAGTATGTATTTTAACAACTTTTTATGATATACTAACACATTTTTAGAATAATTACTGATGGTAGAATTTATCACTGCAGAACAGAACGACCTGACTTAAATTGCAAATGAAATTAATTTATTTTATTTACATTTCTGGGTAAAAACTGGTTCTATCAATTAAGTATAGTAGCGTCTTTACTACAGTAAAGATAACTTTTCTGAATAGGTAAACAATGCAACTAAAACAACTTTACTAATATGTAGATTTTTGCACTTTATTTCTGAGACCTCATTTATTTAGTTACCCCTGAAAATTTGGGCACTAGGAGAACTTGAGAAAGTTACTTGGGAAATGTGCAGAAACTGAAAATGGACCCTGTATCTTTGGTAACAAAGGGATAAAATATTGACATTGAATGACATAATAGAGACTCTGGGTCCCACAGTCCCATGTTGTAATGATTGTACATATCCTAGGATCCAGTCTAGAATGACTTGCTAGGTGAAGAATACACTTCCCAAATGATCCAGTTTCGTTTTAATACCTTCAATTTGGCTCTCCTGGGTCCTTTTTAATTTGAATCAGCAAGAAGGTACCTCTCCCTCCTCACCTCAGGAGTAACACTGATTAACATAGAAAACTCTCACCAAATGGAATGTTCATTTTATACCAGTTATTTCAAGTTTTAAAATACACAGAAGGAAATGTGGAAGGACCTCTTTGTCTATTTCCTAAGTTTGTTTGTTTTTTTCTTTCTTTCTTTCTTTTGTTCTTATGTGGAATAAATAAATCTCGAAAGCTAATCTGTATATCATCAACCAGAGATGCAGGTGGCAGACAAGCCAAATACCACTGCTTTAAGATCAGGTATTCCGCACATTCATCCAAGGTAATAAATTTTCAAAAGAACTTGGATTTGAAGAGATGGCAGAGTATAAGTCATCTGAACACCCAGTATTGGGGGGAAAATGTTTGTAGCCAATGTTTATATTGTTTTGTTCCTTAAGACACATTGGCACTGGAGACTTCAATCAGTGCAGTGTAAATTTTGGAGTAACATAGATTTTACATTTTTATTGCTTGATTTGTGCCCCACATAATAGACATTTTATCATGTAAATTTCCTGTTAGCCAGGGAAAAAAAACTATTATTTTGATTCTTGAATTTTTTTATTTTTTATTTTATTTTTTTTAATTTCCAATGATCCTTTCAAAAAAAACTCTTAGGGCTAAAAAGCACTTCATGAGATGCTAAAGCCGACCCCTGGGGTTAAAAATGTTGACCCTCTCCTGTTATTTAAATGTGAACATTTATTGTACATTCAGTGAGTTATAGTGTTAATAGTCTTGTGCTACTCAGCAGGTGTAAAGATTAATAAATATTTTTTTAAATAAACATCTTCCTTGTTTGTATGTGTGACACTTTAAGAGCTCCTGAGACTGTTGAATTTTTTTTTCCTACTATTACAACTTACAGCGTTTTGACTCTTTGATTCACTGTGGTCTGGTGAAGCCTCCCTGGGAGGGAATTTGTGGATGACGGACTGTGGACTGATGTTCTTCTGCTTATTCACTTGGTGGTTTCAAATTCAAGAACTTACCAACTTTCTAACAGGAAATAAGGCTAGGCTTGCAGCCAGCAGGGGAGCAGAGAGGGTTTTTTTCTTTTTTGTTTGTTTGTTTTTTTTTGAAACTTCTACTTTCCAAAAAGGGAGGGATCTTTTTTGGGGGCCTCCAGCTTCTCTGACGTAGTTGTATCCGATCCGGCTGTGTGGCTCAGTAGGTGAGCCTGGACCTATGAACCAGGAGGTCACCATTGGATTCCTGTCCAGCCACATGCCGGCTTGGGTTGTGGGCTCCACCTCCGCTGGGGGCGTGCAGGAGGCAGCCCTGGATAATTCTCCCATCATTAATGTTTCTATAGTTTGCTCCCTCTCCCTTCCTCTCTGAAATCAATAAAGAAATGTATATTTTTTAAAAAGTTTTTTTAAAAAAAAAAACTTTATATAAAATAGAGAACTGAGGATGATCTCTGCACATCTGCTGGAAGTAGCTGTGGAGTGTGAAGCCAGTGAGTAAGAAGAAAGAGACATAGATTCTTAACAAGAGGAACGTTATCCAGTTTCAAATGTATTTCTTCAGTGTATATAATTTCTTCCGACATCCAGGGTCCTGGGTCGGGAGGGAGAAATGGGAACACACGAGGGGGCGGGGGGCAATAGGCTCGAGTTCCCTTTCTCCTCAATGTAAAAGAGAAACTGCAGTTTTTCAAAATGGGAATTAATAGTGCATAGTACTAAAAATTGGAATTAATCGTGCATAGTACAAAGATAGTTGATAGAAAATCCTTAGCATAGTGTCTGGAGCAAGGTATGCCCTCTGCAAACCTTACCTAATAAAACTGCATTCAGTGAGTCGGGTTTTGGGGCCTCAATTCGCGGCCAGGTGAAAACTACACACCGCCTCTACCCTCCAGAAACTTCTAAACCAGCTGCGACCTTCAAGCTGGTTGCAAACTGCCAGCAGAGAGAGCTTCAACCATTCCCTTTCCGCCCCACCCAAGGCCCGGCCCCGCCCTAGGCCCGGCCCCGCCCCGCCCCAGGCCCCGCCCCTCCCCAGGTCCCCCTCCGCTTCTCTACTCATCGTCCTGGCTCCGCCCACAGACACGCCTCTGCAGGCCACGCCTCACGCAGCCCCGCCCCGACGTCCCAGGCCCCGCCTCTCTAGGACCCGCCCCCCGGCATCCAAGGCCCCGCCCCTTCCGCCGGAGCCCGGAGCGTGCACGCCTTGCGAGGGCGAGCGCGTCTTGCAGCCCGCGGGCCGAGGACCGCAGCGGGCCGCGCGGCCCGCGCTTGCGGCCGAGGTGAGGGCGGGCCCTAGGGGGCGAAAGGGTTAAGACGTTGCGGGGGGGCGGGGGAGCAGAGGGAGGGAGGTGCTGCGGGCTCCGAGGGTCGCTGCTCGGGTGGGTCTGTGGCGGGGACCGGGCCTGTTGGAGCTGGTGGCCCGGTTGGGAGGAAGGGGGTCAGGGTTGGGGCGGAGGGGCCTGGGCGCAGTGGTGCAGATTGGAAGGGTGGGACCTGGGCCTCGGGCTGGGACGGGGTTGACTAGGCGACGACGGCTTTGGAGCCTGGGGTGGCCCCGGAAGGAGCCTAAGGTTTAGGTTGTTTGGGGGAATCGGGAGAGGCCGGGGAGGGTCGTTTAGCCCTGATGCAGAAGAAAGGCCGTTGGGAGAGGCCTTCTTGGTCTAGGAAAGAGGTCCAGATGCCACAAGACTTAGAAATCCTTGGCTTCCGGGGTTCCAACCTCTGGCAGTTGCCTGCTTTTTTTGTATTTGGAGAGCCGATTCAGAATGGTAGCAGGGCAAAGGTTGCCCCTGGGTAAGATTCAATTTAGCTCCTGGTCCACAGAATTGAAGACACTTGGGAGCAAGTTGTGAAACAGGTGATCCTCCTAAGAGGCAGGTGGAACACCCGCTTTGCAGCTCTTAACCCTGCTGTATGTCAGTTTAAATTGGGACTTGATTCTCAGCAGCGGGTTGCTTCTGCATTTTTGTTTTTTGTGCTTTCTCACCTGCTTCAGTCATGTAGCACATGAGATGTTTAGGGTGTTGTAATTCACTGTGGCTGGCAGGGGTACACAGCTGCTTGGTTCAACACTGACCCATCCGCTGGGTCTCTCGTAGATCTGAAGATAAACTTGAAGTAATTCAGCGGGGAGGTGCTTGTTTTAACAGTAAATTGACAGGTTTGCTGTTTATCATTTGAGAATTTCAGAATGAGAAGTCATTCCGTTACTACGTTACGTGACTGCGTTAAGTCACGTAAACTCATCCATCTAGAGATTGTTCCTTGCAGGAATCCAAGATTGGCCTAACCACCCTTCACCAATTGACACCTGGCGAGGTAAGATTTGTCCAGAGTCACTGAGATGTGAAGTTTGGTATTTTGATTTGTAGCTTCTTTTTAAAAATATATTTTATTGATTTTTTACAGAGAGGAAGGGAGAGGGATAGAGAGCTAGAAACATTGATCAGCTGCCTCCTGCACACCCCCAACCCGGGATGTGTCCACACCAAGGTACATGGCCTTGACTGGAATCGAACCTGCGACCGACCCTTCAGTCCGCAGGCCAATGCTCTATCCACTGAGCCAAACCGGTCAGGGCCATGTGGTCTTTTTTTCTTTTCTTTTCTTTTTTTCTTTCTTTTTTTTTCTGTGCTTGTTATTGCTTGCCCATTTGGTAGGAATAGGAGATAGAGCATGGGCTTAGCCAGTGTTCCTGGAGTGATGGAGTCCAAGCTCCTTGTTCCTGAGAGCTTTGTTACATGGATTCTAGCCATCAGCCTTGTGAAATGTTTTCATATGTACTTTTCTAACGGTGGCCAGCTGTGTTCTGTTATTAAAGGAAGGAGAAAAATAGCATTACATTTACATGGCTATAAAAATCGGATGGACCAACTAAAGGTGGGTTGGCCTCCACGTAGCAGAAGGTAACGGTCAGGTTCTTGGAGCCTCGCGTTTATTTGGACTAATAAGGTCACTATAAGGTGCTCCCTTTTCATGATGTAAACCGGAAGTTTAGATAGGGTGTATTGTGTGTAGTGTTAAGAAATGACTCTGCCGTGAGCCTCAGTCCTGTCCCTGAGGTCAGGCAAGTTATTTATCTATTTGTTTTACTGTCTGTAGAATAGATATAATAACCCCGCCTTTCACAGCTGTAAGAATTAAATGACGTAGGCCCTCATTAAGTAACTTATTGTTAATGTCTGAGCTTGATGAGTCTGTGTGAATTTTCTTTTGTGAAAGAGCAAAGACTTAATTGCTAAAAAGAAAACAGAAAAACACCACAATTGTTAAATTATGTTTTTTTAAAAAAAAGTATTTTATTAAATTTTTACAGAGAGGAAGGGAGAGGGATAGAAAGGTAGGTCAGCTGCCTCCTGCACACTCCCCACTGGGATGTGCCCGCAATCAAGTTACATGCCCTTGACCGGAATCAAACCTGGAACCCTTCAGTACGCAGGCTGAGGCTCCATCCACTGAGCCAAGCGGTGAGAGCTGTTAAATTATGTTATAGTGGAGTCTAGAAGTCTAAATTATGTGCTCTGCTGATCCATTCTTCGAGTCTGCTTTTGCTTATGTGTAAAGTGAAGTTAGAAAACCTATAAATTTGGGAGCTAGAAGAAGTCTGGTAGGATTTTAAAGTTCAGATGACTGTGGAGTGGTGGGCAGGAGGGAGAAGAGCTGTTCAGCTGTAGTTAGGGAGTGAGGATAAGGGCTAAGGGAGGGTTTGCGGTGGAATATTTTCTGGGCCAGAGTTATTTCCTGAAGGAGCGTGTCCACCAGATCCCTGGGATTTCTGCCTTTCTGTCTCAAGCCGTGCCTGCCTGTGTTTGTCTAGATTCCCCGTGGAACATAAAACATGGATTCCTTGGACCATATGCTGACGGACCCCCTGGAACTGGGTCCGTGTGGAGATGGCCATGGGGCACGGATTATGGAGGACTGCCTCCTGGGGGACACCAGGGTCAGTCTGCCGGAGGACCTTCTGGAGGATGTGAGTTACACCGTCACCCCCTTTTCCTCTCTCGACCTCCTCACAGCTACTGTTCTCATCCTTGCAGTCTCATGTTAAGGATAAAACTTCTGTTTCATTCTCTGTACTGCAATCAGAGTGATCTCTGTCTTTTTTTGTGGAGAATCTGTTGAATACTCTTGAGTAGGGAATAAATGATAAGCTACATTCTGCATGTTTAATAACTTGATAATATGTGATAAAGCCCTATTTTTAACAAGTTAGTTTTCAGCAACGAGCGAGAAGTTTTTTTAAAGAGGAGAATTATGTCTATGTTTACATCGATTACCCATATTGTGATTCATGAAACCAAACCCAAATGTGTCCTCTCTGGCTATAAGGAACCTGCTCGTCAGTTATTCATGTGTGTCCTGGGCAAGCATATCAGCGTGCTGTGACCACTTTCACAGGCTGTGATCATTATCATTAAGATGGCTGCCATGTATTAAGTGCTCAGTATGTGGAAGGCGCTAGGTGCTGAGACATCTGTTTCTCTGTCTTGGTTTATTTTGTATATTTTAAACATAGTTGCTGTGTCATAAAGCTGACATCCATCTGAGCATCATCCAGCTTTAGGAGATAATTTTATTTAGTCATATTTGGTTCAGATTTCTCTTTCATAATATGTGCTGTGCCAGCACTGCTAAGGGTTTGGCGAGCCTGAGGGGGACTGGTGAAGGATGAAGAAAAGACAGACAAAGAGAATAAGCTGGGTCTAGGTGGATCTTCTGTGCCTGGCTGAGGCCACAGAACAGATCCAGACTGCAAAGCTGATGCTCTATTTATAGTCAGGGACAAATAATGTAATTTACAATGTTCTTGTAAGTATCAATTATTTTGACAGCACTTGCTGCCCCTCCCATAGCCCACTAGCTACCCAGGAAAGATTGAGGGAACAGTTCTAAGATCAAGCTCAGTTATGCTTAGAGGGCCGTGCCCTCCAAGCTGGGACTTGTTTGAGACTTTGCCAGCAGGTCAGGCCGAGGCTTAACTCTATAACCGCTTCCTACAATAATATGTCAGACATTTTAGATAAAATTAAAGCCGCCAGTCTGCCCTTATTTTATTCCCTCTCTTCACCTGAAGTAACAACCACTGAAGTCACTGTATATCCTTCCATGTGTCCTCTTTCAAGTAAATCTCCTGTGTCACTCAGTCAGCAAACACTTTTTTTCATCAATCACCTTCTTTAGGCCAGACCCTGAGGTGCTGGGAATAAAGTGGTGAGCACCAATTAGCTCGCAGGGGAACTCGGAGCCGAGGTGCTTTGTGTATTCATGCTGAGACCGTTGATGGCTCCCTTTGCCCAAACGGTAAAGGCACAAGTACTGAACATGCTCACAGGTCCCTTGTCCCTCCTGCTTGCTTCTCCACCTCTCCTTCCCTGTCCTTGTGCCAGCCTCATGTTGCCTGAATTCTTTTTGTTTTTGGGTTTTTAACCCTTTTGCCTCAGTCTTTTTTTCTTTTCCTTATCATCCCTCAATGTCATTTATTTATTTTTTAAAATATATTTTATTGATTTTTTACAGTGAGGAAGGGAGAGGGATAGAGAGCTAGAAACATTGATGAGAGGGAAACATCGACCAGCTGCCTCCTGCACACCCCCTACTGGGGATGTGCCCGCAACCAATGTACATGCCCTCGACTGGAATCGAACCTGGGACCTTTCAGTCCACAGACCGATGCTCTATTCACTGAGCTAAACTGGTTTCAGCCCTCACTGTCTTTTAAAAAAATGTATCCTATATAATAAAAGGCTAATATGCAAATTGTCCCTTTGGGAGTTTGACTGCTCGCTATGACATGTGCTGACCACCAGGGGGCGGTGCAAAAACAAAGGAAGGCCCCAGCTGGCCCTGATTGCCAACCAGGCCTACGGACCCTTCCTATGTACAAATTTTGTGCACTGGGCCTCTAGTATATATTTTTATTGATTTCAGACAGGGAGAGGGAGAGAGCAATAGAAACATCAGTGATCAGAGAGAATCGTTGATCAGCAGCCTTCTCTGTGCCCCACTGGGGATTGAGCCCACAACCCAGGCATATGCCCCGACCGGGAATTGATCCGTGGCCTCCTGGTTCATAGGTCGATGCTCAACCGCTGAGCCACGCCGGTCGGACATCCCTCACTATCTTAAATGTCACTTCCTCTGGTAGGTGTTCTCTGAAGCCTTCAGTCCGGGAGGTGTGCTTCTCCTATGTGCTCATAGGTAAACTTCTTAAGCTGCGTTGTAATTGCTTGTTTAATATTTCCCACAACCAGACAGTATGTATGCAGTACTAGTCTGTCTTAGTATCACATAGATGTCCAGTATGTGATTGTTGAACTGAAAATGAGCTCCATCCCGCTGCTTCTCACTCTCAGCAGGTGACCTCAACTCCTCAAGCTCTCTCCTCTCGTGTTAACTTTTTCCTGCCACTCATTTTTGCTAAACTCGGATTTCTGCCGACATGTCCCCTGCTGACAGAAATGGTTCCCAGATACGGTTCTCTCTACTCAGATTATTTTCCTCTGGATTACTTGCTGTTGGATGTAAGACTTCGGTTTATAGGTAGTCTTTATGAATCTCTCAAGTTTTGAGAATTGAGGAAAGATGAGTAGAATTTTAGTTTGTTTAAAAACACTTAAAACTTGAATGGTGGCAATCTCTCTCTCAAAACTTGAATGGTGGCAATGGTTGCCCAACAGTGTGAACGGACTTAATGCTACTGAACCGTACAGTTAAAAATGGGTAAAATGGGAAGTTTTATGTCATACATATTTTATCACACAGAAAACATAGAAACCTCCTTTTCTCTCGCTGACTTTTCTCCTGCTTCCTCTCATTCTCCCAGCCCGAGATATTCTTTGAGGTGGTCAGCCTCTCCACGTGGCAGGAAGTGTTGAGTGACACCCAGCGCGCGCACCTCCAGCAGTTCCTGCCCCGCGTTCCGGAGGACAGTGCTGAGCAGCAGAACCAGCTGCTCCTGGCCCTGTTCAGGGGCGAGAACTTCCGCTTCGGGAACCCCCTGCACATCGCCCAGAAGCTCTTTCGAGGTGCGTAGCTCAGCAGGCTTTCGGGGGGAGAGGAAGGTGGGGACCCATTCAGTTATGTGCAGGCATTCCTTTCAGTCTGTCTGTTATGTACAAACTAGAGGCCTGGTGCACGAAATATATGCGAGAGGAGGCCTTCCTTCTGGCTGCTGGCACCCAGCATCCGGGCTTCCCTTGCAGTCCTGGCTTCATCCGGAAGGTTGTTGAGAAGGATGTCCGGTCTAATTAATATATTATACATTTATTATTATAGATAGGTACCGACTCAGCAGATTGGTTTTGTGCAACACTTGCTGCCTATGCCATCTTTAAAAAAAAACAAAAACAAACAAACAAAAAACTTACATAGGAAATATATAAATCATAAATGTATTGCTCAGTGATTTATTATAATATGAATTCAGCTATGTAAAACAACCACCTAGATCAAGAAATAAAACATTACCAACATCGCCCTGGCCCTTGTGATTTCAGAAGTTAGTGTCAGCCTGAGCCCTAAAGGATCATAAGTTCGATTTCCAGTCAAGGGTATGTGCCTGGGTTGCAGGTTTGATCCCCAGACTAGTTTGGGGTGCTTGTAGGCGGCAGCCAATTGCTGTTTCTCTCTCTCTCTTTCTCCCCACTCTCTCCCTTCCACTTCCTAAATATCAATGGAAAAAATACCCTTGGGTGAGGATTAACAAAAATAAATAAACAAAAATACCAACATATTATAGGCACCTTTATGACTAGTCTTTAAATAATTTTCAATAATAGTTTACTATTTGCATGATTACATATGTGTGTGTGTGTGTGTGTGTGTGTGTGTGTGTCTGAATTACATACACTTTTCTGCAGAAAGCATGATACTACTTCCAATCTCTTTAGCATTTATGTATCTCTTAGCAAGGACATTTTCCCACACGATCACAGTCCTCTCTATTACACCCAAGACATTTTACATTGAGCAAAAAGTATCACAGAGTATCACCATGCAAATTGTCTCTGTTGTCCCCAAATGGCCTTTATAGTTGTCTCTTAAATCCAGGACCAATTCAAGGTTCATGCCTCGTGTTTGGATCTCATGTCTCTTCGCTTCCTGAATCTAGGGCCCTCTGCCCCCCCCCCCCCCCCCCCCCCCCCCCGCCCTTGTCTTTGAAAACACTGACGTTTTTGAGGAGCCTAGGACACTTGAATTGTAAAACATCCTGTTTTCTGGGGAATTGTCTTCTTGTTTTCTCATGATTAGATTTGGGTTAAACTCTACGGGACATGTTATTTCTTTCCCACTGTCATCTCCGAAGGCAGGTGGTGCCTGTTTTTCCATTGTTGGTGATGCCATGTTTGAGCCCTTGTTTAAGGGATGTCTGCCAGACCTACTGGTTGTAAGGGACCTTTTTCATTGTATAAAAAGCAATCTGTAGGATAATGCTTGGGGACCACGTGACGTTCTTTATTTTCTTTTTTAAAACAATACATATTTATTATAGAGAAATTAGGAATACAGATAATCAAAAGAGGAAAATAAAATCACTCTTAATTCTACCACCCAGACATAACCGTATTTAATGTTACGTGAACCACATAGAGAAATGGAAATACTTTTTCTTCTTTTTTTGGGGGGGAAGGGTGAGTTATTTTTATTTTTTCCCCAAGACCACGTGATACTCATTTTCCAAAAGCCCTTATTTTACTCTGGTTTTAGCACCCAATAATAATTCTTTCCTGAGAAAGTAGGGTATGTGGCCTGTTCAGGGAACAGCATGGAGGCCATTGGGGATGGGGTAGAGTGAGCAAAAGAGGGATTGGTGAAATATGAGGCCACAGGTGGCACGAGGCAGGTCATGAAGGGCCTTATAGGCCATCTTTAGGGTCTCAGCTTTTATTGAATGTGGAGGGAGACCATGGGACCAAGCCACCATTGTCACATAGACCACTGCAGCTGTTTTTCTTTCATCTTGCTTTCAGCATGTCATTCTTCTGCTTTAAACCGTCATTGCTCTTAGGATAAAATCCACGCATGACCTAAAAGCTTATGTCTGATCTCAGGTCATCTTCCCAGGTCATCTTGTGTCGCTCTCAGCTACCACCTTCTCTGCTTTAGTCTTCAGACATTTCTGTACGTCCCCTACTGGGGATTGAACCCACAACCTGGGCATGAGTCCTGACTGGGAATGGAACCGGCAACCTTTCGTTGTATGGGACAACACCCAACCAACTTAGCCACACCAGCCAGGCATATGTTCCTCCCAGTTTTTCATTTTGAAAACTTGTAAGCATAAAGAAAAGTTGAAAAATAATATAACAAACATTCGTATAATGTTCACTTATACTTATCAGTTGTTGATATTTTGCTGCAGTTGCTTTAATCTGGCTTCATTTTTGCGTCATCTCTTAGAGATCCCTTTCCTGATTGAACTCTCCTTGCCCTTCCGTTCTCTGGCGTTAACTTCCCTATCGTACTTAAGAGAGTTGACTGTTACTTATCTGTTTACCTGTTTATTTGCTGTCTCTCCCTCGGGACTGTAGGCTCCACTTACACAAAGGTTATCTCCTACCCCTGCCCCCAATATTATATATCCCAGCTTAGTAGACTGAACCACATTTCCAGAACACGTTAAATATTTACTGACTGATGTATATATGTTGTACCTCGGTTCTTTTAAGATGGACACTTCAACCCTGAGGTGGTCAAGTATCGGCAGCTCTGCTTCAAGTCGCAGTACAAGCGGTACCTCAACTCCCAGCAGCAGTATTTCCACCGGCTGCTGAAGCAGATTCTGGCTTCCCGGAATGTAAGTGATGTCAGGAAGCGGATGTGCAACGGGCAGTGAACGCACCAGTTTCATGACCTCAAGAAGTGGCTCAGGTGTAAAATACGAAAGATACCACTAAAGGAAAAAACATGCTACCAATTAAGCTATAATACAATTAAACTATATTATTATTTCTTTTAAAAAATATTTTTTTAATTGATTTTTTTTACAGAGAGGAAGGGAGAGGGACAGTGAGCTAGAAACATTGATGAGAGAAAAACATCGAACAGCTGCCTCCTGCACACCCCCTATTGGGGATGTGCCTGCAACCAAGGTACATGCCCTTGGCCGGAATCGAACCTGGGACCCTTCAGTCCGCAGACCGACGCTCTATCCACTGAGTCAAACCGGTTTCGGCAATTCTTGCTTATGTTCAATTTTAAGAAGTACCCTGATCTCAGAAATGTTAAAACGGGGGAAAAGATATCTCTTAAAAATGGGTGAAATATTGTAGCTTCAGTATTTACCACGATAAACAAATGGCTCTCAGCTCCATCATGGTGCAGGGGACCAGGCTGCGCTAGGGTAGGAGTGGGGGCCACATGGGCCCCTGAGAGCCATGTGGGGTAGGCAGAGCGCCAACCTCATTGGGCCCGGGCTGGATCAGTCTGCTAATTCTTTGAGACAAAGTCTGGCTTTCAGTGGTTTAAGCTTCAGTAAGGAAATATTTGGGTCTCTAGTGTAATGAGCATTCGCCATGGGATAATCAAAATACTAGGCTGTTTTTATTTGGCATCATCACATACACATCTTTTGTTTTTAAAATATATTTTATTGATTTTTTTACAGAGAGGAAGGGAGAGAGATCGAGAGCTAGAAACATCAATGAGGGAGAAACATCGACCAGCTGCCTCCTGCACACTCCCCACTGGGGATGTGCCCGCAACCAAGGTACATGCCCTTGACCGGACCTGGGACCTTTCAGTCCGCAGGCTGATGCTCTATCCACTGAGCCAAACCGGTTTTGGCAACATACACCTCTTTTTTGTAATCTGGAAAGAAGGAGTGGAGCTTATTAGACAACGAAGCGAAGAGAATGTAGACTTAGAGAAGGTACCAGAACAAGCTTCCGAGCTGACGTTCGTTCCCCCGTCTGGCCTTCCTAGGACCTCCTGGAAATGGCCCGTCGGAGCGGCCCGGCCCTTTCCTGGCGGCAGAAGCGCCCTTCGCCGTCCCGCACCCCCGAGGAGCGGGAGTGGCGCACGCAGCAGCGCTACCTGAAGGTCCTGCGGGAGGTGAAGGAGGAGTGCGGTGACACGGCCCTGTCGTCCGACGAGGAGGGTGAGCGTCCCGGGCCCTGGGAGTGGCCGAGGAGCTTGCTGTGTGGTTGGAGCCAGTGGTAGCCATTGATCCCCCCAGCAAAGAAGCTGTCCCGTAGTCTGTCGGGGGGTGGGTGGGGGTGGGGGTGGACGCTCCTGTTAGGTGGGGCATGGCTGCACATGAGTTTTACCTGTGATGGGTACTCGACACTGGTGTAGGTGAGCTGGGCCCTGGTGGCAGGGCTCTCCGCGGCGGGCCTGTCTGGTCCCCGTGTGCCCCTTGAGAGAACTGCTTTTCCCCCCACAGGAGAGTAGTAGTGACTGGTGGCCTGCTGCAATGCGACCCATCACTGGTGAAGTCTCTTCCCGGAAGAGCCGTTTAAATGGCCTCAGTGCTCCAGCTCGCCCGGGGAAGGGTCGGAAAGGAATGGTGGAACCCTGGCCTCCCTGTTGTTGGCTTGCCCTTGTTGCACCCAAATGGCCACTTACCCAATCTCCCTGTTGGAGTCCACAGCCACGTGGGATTCACAAGAAACATTTTCTTTTGAAGATCTCAGCTCATGGCTCCCGAGCTCCCCAGCGCGCTCTCCTAGCCCCGCGGTGCCCCTGAGGGTGGTGCCCACGCTTTGCACCACAGACATGAAAACTGCAGGTGAGGACGGAGCGGCTGCGGCTGGCATTCTGGGAAATGTGCAGGGAGATGTGAGGACTCCTTTGGAGGGAGGTGGGGCCAGATTCTTACCTGCCAGGAAAACAAAGCAGTGTTCCTTGGAATTGGAGACATTTGGGTACAATTCCACTTTAAAAAATATATATATTTTATTGATTTTTTTTACAGAGAGGAAGAGAGAGGGATAGAGAGTTAGAAACACCGATGAGAGAGAAACATCCATCAGCTGCCTCTTGCACACTCCCTACTGGGGATGTGCCTGCAACCAAGGTACATGCCCTTGACGGGAATCGAACCTGGGACCTTTCAGTCCGCAGGCCGACGCTCTGTCACTGAGCCAAACCGGTTTCAGCTAACTCCACTTTTTTACAAGCAGATAGGCCTGCCTTCCTTTGCTTTGAAATTTTTTTTTAGGAACTGATCAGCTGGTATTTTGCGCTGAAGCAGAAAATTAAAACAAAATAGCACTAAGGGGCATTTCAATAATAGAACAAAGGGGTAACCAGGGCCATGGCAATTTCTCAGAACATCTGTGAAGTTAGGGAAGGATTTATTTTTAATATGTTTTTATTGATTTGAGAAAGAGAGGAAGGTGGAGGGTGAGGTGGGGAGAGAGACATCAGTGTGAGAGAGAAACACTGGTTGGTTGCTGCCTGCATGCACTCTCACCAGGGATTGAGCCTGCCTCCTGGTATTTGCCCTGACCAGAATTGAACCAGTGACCTTTAGGTGCACAGAATGACACTCAACCACTGACCCACACCGGCCAGGGCAGAGAAGAATTTTTAATTGGGATAGCAATCAGAAGAATGTTAAGAACCTTGAATGTGTTTTAGGAGCAGCTAAGTAAATGAGGTCATGGTTATTGACCAATGCATAGAAAAACTGCAGAGTCAACCCCATGACTGTTTCAAGACTGATGGTACTTACAGTACACAGCCCTCAGAAGGGAAGCTCAGAGACATACCTTCGTTTTGAACGTCACAGGTGACCAGAAAGATTTAGATTTCAGCATCACGTTGTGAATGACTTAGTGCATGTGGTTTGGTTCATTCCCTCTCAGATAAGATAGAGCTGGGGGACAGTGACCTGAAGATAATGCTGAAGAAGCACCATGAGAAGCGGAAACATCAGCCGGTAAGAGTGGGGGCCGGGCGTGCTCGTTCGCGGTTTTCAGTGTCCAGTCTCTGGGTTGGCTATTGTGAGGAGCACACAGGTAGACACTACCTTGTTTCTGCTTCTTTTCCTTATCGTTAGAGGGCAGGACACCTGTAGACGGTAGTTGAAAGGTGTAAGAAGACACATGCTTTAACCTTATTTTTAGTTATTTACTTATTTATATTTTTATTGATTTCAGAGAGGAAAGGAGAGGGGGAGAGAGAAACATCAGTGATGAGAGAGAGAATCACTGATGGGCTATTTCCTGCATGTTCCCCATTGCAGATCGAGCCTGCAACCCGGGCATGTGTTCTTGACCAGAATCAGACGTGGGACCCTTCAGTTAACAGGCCAACGCTCTATTTACTGAGCCAAACCAGCTAGAGCCGTACTTTGACTTTATATAAGGCACTCTGAAAATAGTGTCTGATTTAATCTTTGCTCAAGACTGATGTTGAATCGTACCCATTTTACCAGTGCCCAACCTGGCCCTACAGCTAGTCGGAGGCTGAGCCAGGGTCAGATCCTGTGCTCTGCCCACTCTTCTCTGTTTCTAAGCTCTACCTAATCAAGGTGATTCCAGTGCAGCCGCATCAGAGAGCTCAATAGGGAGAGGAGGCAGTTCGCCTAAGGCAGGTGGCGAGATGGGGAGACTCCCACAGTGGAAGTCAGAACCGACTGTGTTCCCCACCTGCTCTGTGGTATTGGGCAAGTCCCTTAACTTCTCTGAATCTCGTTTTCAGACTGTAAAAATGGATGGGGAATGTCCGGCTCTCAGGCTGAATAAGGTTGCAAAGTCATTTGGTCTGGCCCTGCCAAGGCATTAGGGGTGAATTAATTAAACGTTTAAGCAAATAAAGCAGGCTAATTTTTAAGTTGATAATTTTGTATGGCCCACGAATGAGGTTATACATGTCCAAAAGGCCCCTGGCAGAAAAAAAGACCCCACCCTTGCTGTAAAACATGATCTTGAACAAGGCTATTTGAAGAACATGCCAAGTGAGGAATGTGAAAGAGCTTTATAAATGCCATACAGTAGAAAGGTTGGCACTGGTTTCTCCTCTGCCTCTTTATGAAGAGCAGTTTTTATGTTTATAATTTTTATTCAGCATGATTTTCTTAAGTTGCACGTAACATCTATTCATCTGTTGGGTAAATTGGTAAAACGCCCAGCAGTTTGGGCTCCATATTTGGCCTCCATAACAAATCTCTGGTGTCACATCTAGGATCACCCGGACCTTTTGACGGGGGACCTGACTCTCAATGACATCATGACTCGCGTCAATGCTGGGAGGAAAGGCTCTCTAGCAGGTAAATGACGCCCTCGGTGGGCAGCCGTCACCTGACTGGTGCTAAATTCCGTTAACCTATGTATATGTTGGAAAACAGAAATCACAGCTTGCTTCTTGCTGATAGCCTTTTTTGGTTATTTGCTCTAGTGGTCTGATAGGTGGAATGTGAATATAGAATCAGAACAGCAGATCATTGATGCCTGAATAACTGTTAAAATTAATTTGTAAATCACTCTTTGGGTTTGGTAAACTGAAATGTCTTGCTTTTGAGACTCTTCTTTCTTTTGGACTCCCACATTCCCGGATGTATAGAAAATGCAGTTCTGTGATTTGTGTTGCTTTTTCTTCGCAGCCCTGTATGACTTGGCTGTCCTTAAAAAAAAGGTTAAGGAGAAAGAGGAGAGGAAGAAGAAGAAAATAAAAGTGATCAAGTCAGAAGCAGAGGACTTGGCCGAGCCCTTGAGCGGGACGGAAGGGCTCCCGCCTCTCTCACAGGCTCCGTCTCCGCTGGCAGCGCCTGCCATCAAGGAGGAGTAAGTGAGCCACAGAGCTGACCCCGCGGGGTGGAGGATGGGCGAAGGGTGACCCAGGACTGGTGCTTGGGGTGGCCTGGTGACCTGACTCTCAGTGACATCATGACTCGAGTCAACGTTGAATCATAAGCCCAGCGTCCCGGGGTTCTACCCGGGCAAGTACATAGTGTGGCCCTTTAGTGAACTCTTGTGATAGACAGGAGGCTTGGAGGGCTTACACCAGCTAGGGATGTGTTCTTGGTCCTTTTCGTTCTTATGTTTTTCCTCCTCCATTAGGCCTCTGGAAGACCTCAAGCCTTGCCTGGGAATCAATGAGATATCTTCCAGCTTCTTCTCTCTTCTCCTCGAGATCTTGCTGCTGGAGGGGCAGTCTAGCCTTCCTGTGGTAAGAGTTGTGGGAAAGTCAGACATATATCTAAAGTTTTCAAACGGTAGAAAACCTTAATGTTCTGCAGCAAGGGTGGGGAGCCTTCATTTATTTTTTATTTTTTTTGCCAAGTGCCATTTGGATATTTATAGCATACGAAATTATCAACTTAAAAAGCACCCTGCGATATTTGGTCTAACATTTAATTAACTCACCCCTGAGGCCTTGGCAGGGCCAGACCTAATGACTTCTCGGGCCTTAGACAGCCCGTGGGCTGGACGTTCCCCACCCTGGTCTGCAGCTCGAGAAGAACTCTGGGTCGCTCCCGGAGCCCTTTGGCCTACTTGCTGTGGGCAGGCTGGACAGATCCACCAGCTTGCTGTGGCCCTCGTGGGATTGCTGGGCCCTGACTGTTCCGCCTTTGCTTTCCTGCAGCTGGAGGAGCGGGTTCTGGATTGGCAGTCCTCTCCGGCCAGCTCCCTCAATAGCTGGTTCTCTGCAGCCCCCAACTGGGCGGAGCTGGTGCTACCAGCCCTGCAGTATCTTGCTGGAGAAAGCCGAGGTAAGGTGCTTTTTTCTGGAGGGCCGCACACACACACACACACCGGTCTAATTCTCATAGTGAACTGCAGCTTTGCTGTCTGAAACCATCATGGCTTTGCACAGTGCCAGCCTTGGAGGCCTGATACTGTGAAACATTCAGACGCTCTCAGCTCAGGGACGGCCATTGTTGTTCTGCGTTGAGCACTCTGACCTGTGTGGCTTGTTCATGGAATCCATTTCTTGCAGCCGTGCCTTCCAGTTTCTCCCCATTTGTTGAATTCAAGGAGAAGACCCAGCAATGGAAATTGCTTGGTAAGTAATTCGTATTACCTACCCGTGACACCAGGTCTTCGTTCTCTCATTTCCTCCCCTTGGCTTCCTTTGCCTTCCAGTCAGCAAAGGCAGTGTTAATTCTCAGGCTGTTCCGCAAAACGCTCCTTCGGGATCCCTTTTGTACTCGGGGTCCGAACTTCACCCCCTCCATCCCCTCCAGTGGATTTGGGCTCACCGGGGCTGGGGTGGACTAGCTCTTCCATTATGATGCACTCCGGTGCTGGCTAAATTTAAATGCATTTATATTAATTGTACTTAAGGTTTTAGGTCAATTTGTAATAATGTATTTTTCTTTCCTAAAAATTGGAATTTATGAACCTTTTTCTTTACACTCTTGCACAGTCTATGAGGATATATTTGGGGAGATGCAGTAGATCCATCCATTACATTTGTTCAGCTTTTAGGCATATCGGTGATGGTTAGGAGGAGGCCGGCAGATGGCAGGGAGGGCGTTCTGGGTGGAGGAGGCAGTGGCTCCGTGGTGCCAGGGAAGATTCGGTTCAGAACGGTCACACAGCCTGTGCAGATATGAAGATAGTTGGATCTAAAACTTAAGAAGGTTTTAGGCGGAGAAGCCTCAGGGCTTGGTATGACTTGGACATGGGAGAGAAAGAAGAGTGTGGGCAACATCCCTTTGCTAGGTTTGAGTTTTGTGGCTGAAGGTGGTGTTTATGGAGGTGGGTGGCTGTGGAAGACGCCTGGACATGGGTGAGGGCGAAGGTCATGAGTTTAGTTTGGGATGTGCTGAGTTTGAGCTGCCTTTGAGGCATCTGAGTGAAGGTACTGAATAGACAGTGGTATATATGCGTTTAGAACCCAGCCCGGAGTCGAGGTACAGAGCTGTTGGCATATTGGTATATATAGCATTTGAAGTCAAAGGCATAGGGGGGAGGTAGTAAACGAGGAGAAAAGAGGGCCGAGGACTAAGCCTGGAGAGGAGGTGGAGTGGGAGGAGATGGAGTGGGAGCATGTGGAGAGGAAGCGACTACGAGAGATAGCTGACTCTTGGAAGCCAAGCAATGAGAGTTAAGAATTGGGGAGTGGTTATTAGCCTTGATTGTTACTAAAAGGTTCAGTAGATAAAGGCTGTGGACTTGTGGACACAGAAGAAGTGAGAAGAAGTGAAGAATTTCTTGTGTGATTTTTAAAAAAATTTAAAAAAGTATATTTTATTGATTTTTTACAGAGAGGGATAGAGAGTTAGAAATATCGATCACCTGCCTCCTGCACACTCCCTACTGGGCATGTGCCTACAACCAAGTAAATGCCCTTGACGAATCGAACCTGGGACCCTTGAGCCCGCAGGCTGACGCTCTAGCTATTGAGCCAAACGGGTTAGGGCTCGTAAGAGTGATTCTTATCAGAATGACTTGAGTTCAGGACCGGGGTGAGGGAAGGCGACTCATGCTGTCAGGCGGCGCTTGAAGTCGGCCGAGATGGGACACTTGTGCCATCGTGGCACACGTTGTAGGCCATAATAAGTATTGTGAGTGTGTGGGCCAGATGCTCTCTGTTGCAGAGGCCAGTGCTACAGATCCTGACAGGTTTTCTCCCTCCCTCCCTCCCTCCCTCTCTCTCTCTCTCTCTCTCTCTCTCTCTCACACACACACACACACACACAGATATAGCACACAAGGAGAAAGTGAGATCCTAAGGAATGCCCCAGTTGGTTTCATTATTTTTTCCCTTTTGATTCTTCTAATAGGCCAGTCCCAAGACAACGAGAAGGAGTTAGCTGCGCTCTTCCAGCTGTGGCTTGAAACCAAAGACCAGGCCCTCTGCAAGGTAAGCTTTCTACAGAAATGTCCGCCTTCCTGATGGGGTGCCCAGGGCCCCAAGTCCGCCAGAATCCTGTAGTCCACGTACCTGTTCATGTTTTCCTTTCCTGCAGCAAGAAAACGAGGACAGCTCAGACGCCACCACGCCTGTTCCTCGGGTGTGAGTATAACTCTTGACAGCGGGGTTATTATACTTTAAATGCAGAAAACAAAATGCATAGAGTTGAAACCTGGTTTGTCCTACTGCCATGGCTTTTGTGACATTCCTTAGCATGTTAGAGTTGTCGTGGGCTTGAGAGATCCTGGGGGCCCAGGGATTCTCACCTGCCTCAGCCCACCTGAGGGCACCACCCCGTCATTCAGAGAGGCTCCCTGAGGAGAGGATGCACAGCAGGGTTTCTGAGGTGGATGTGATCTGCCTTGTAGGTGGGCATGCTTTCCCACATCGAATTACTCTCCTTCAGTTCTCATTTGAGTGTGATTCATCCAATCCATCTTCCTCACTTCACCTAAAAAGAAATTGAGGCACATGGCTAAGTGACTGGCCGGAGGTTAGGGACAGGACCAAGGCTAGAATTTAGGCCTCTTGGCCTCTAGCCCTGAGCCTTCATATCACAGCATCTCATGTGACCATTCTCTGTCTGATATGGTCCTCTTTTCCTATCCCAGGTTTGTGAGATGCCATTGACATATGATACTGTGTTGACTTGATATATGTATAGAACACATCCATCAGCTCACAGAATTACCAGTTTGTGTATATGTTTGTGTGTGGTATGGTCTCTCTCAGCAACTTTCAAGTGTATAAATCAGAGTTATGAACTGTAGTCGTCGTGCTATACGCTAGATCCCCAGACCTTACTCTTCTTACGGCTAGAAGTTTGTCCCTTTAATCAGCATTTCCCCGTTTCCCCATCTCCAGCCCCCAGTAACCACCATTCTACTCCCTGCTTCTTTCTGTGAGTTTGGCTTTTGTTAGATTGCCCACATTCTTTCTGTTCCAGAAGAACTGACTATGTGGTGCGGCCCAGCACCGGGGAGGAGAAACGAGTGTTTCAGGAGCAGGTAAGACAGCCCGGCCAGAGGAGATCTCTGCGCGCTTGAGGCTGTGTGGCGAGGCCCTCCCCGATCCCATGTTCGGGAGGAAATTCACATCTTTCTCCGTAGATTCCTGCTGGTGGGGGCTTGCTTGTTAGGGGCAGAAATGGTGTCTTAATGACCTTTGCTAGTGAGGAGGGCTTTGGGGAGCATCCCTTTCCCACTGGAGCATCCCATTTCCCTCCAGTGGTCCTAGTGGAGTAGCCTCTTTCCTTCTCGTTTTAATCTCTCCTGATTGAGTGGGAGTGCTGGAGGGAACCCCACTGATCCTGACTTAGGAGCTTGGCCTTCTCCTCTTGATAGGAGCGTTACCGGTACAGCCAGCCCCACAAGGCGTTCACCTTCCGGATGCACGGCTTCGAGTCGGTGGTAGGGCCCGTGAAGGGCGTGTTCGATAAGGAGACCTCCCTCAACAAGGCTCGGGAGCACTCCCTGCTGCGCTCCGACCGGCCCGCCTACGTCACCATCCTCTCTCTCGGTAGGTAGGCCGCTTGCTTCTTCAGGCAGCTGCACCTCACCCCCACCCCCACCCCCACCACACACACGAGAGCTTTGGTATTTGGGAAGGAGCGTCCTTCCCCCAGAGACTTATCGTGAATCTGTGTTTCTTTCCTGAAGTCTGTGCTCCAGTTTATTCAGGAATTCACTGTTCCCAGGCCAGCTAAATAGCGAGCTCAAGCGTAGGAGTTTGCTGCCTCCAGACTGTGTTTCCTTTCAAGATGAGGTTTTTTAACCTCTTTTTTGTGTGTGTCATGAATCTTTGGCTCTGGTGAAACAAACCTATGGACCCTCCTCAGAATTATACTTTAAATGCAGAAAACAAAATGCATAGAGTTACAAGAGAAGCTAATCATATTGAAATAGTTATTAAAATATTAAAACAAATTTCTCGTGCAGAAATATGTGTACCTTTATTGATATTAAATGATAAGATCTAGCAGTCGGTATTACACCTTCTGTCATTTCCAAATCGTGATGCATGGAAATGGTATTTGGAGTCGGCCTGCAGCAGCTGTAATGTGGCATGAACATATCTAAGTCGGTTACAGCATCACAGCACTGCCAGTGTATGGTGTATGGTTTGTTACCTCTGTGTAGTCCTAGACGTCATGCTCAGTCTTGGCTGAGTGTGAAGAGTGTACACATAGCGAACGGCCCCTAGAGGGCAGTGTCCACCCAACGCTGAGTGAGGAAGACACCTCAGGGCATGCCACCTGCCTGACCAAGGAGGGAAGGGTGTCCCCAGCAGTGGCTCTGCTTGATTCTTGGACTTTCCATTTTCCGACGCCATCAGTTCGAGATGCTGCAGCTCGGCTGCCCAACGGCGAGGGCACACGGGCAGAGATCTGCGAATTGCTCAAGGACTCCCAGTTCCTCGCACCAGATGTCACCAGCACTCAGGTAGGATGGAGAAGAAATTCCTTTTGTTTTGTTCCCGAAATGCAATAAGGAAAACAACAAGGATAGAAAATATAGTAACGTAAATAAATTTAAAAAAAGACTGAAGAAGAGGAGAGCAGGGTGTCATGTGAACAGTGTTAACCTAAGATTCGACTCAGCTGCTCCACCTTCCCCAGGTCTTAGGACCTCATCCCCTTTGCTCTGGCTGCTAGGTGAACACGGTGGTGAGCGGGGCCCTGGACCGGCTGCATTATGAGAAGGACCCCTGCGTGAAGTATGACATCGGGCGCAAGCTGTGGATCTACCTGCACCGTGACAGGAGCGAGGAAGAGTTCGGTGAGTCAGGCTCGGGCAGGGTGTCCAGCTAGACTAGGGACGCTCTGACTTTCTGCCCCAGCTTCTCACTGGCATGTGGGCAGGACAGGACCCTAGAGCAGGACTTGGCCCTCCAGTGAGGCCCTGGCTCTTTTTTTATTTTTATTTTTTATTAATATATTTTATTGGTTTTTTTACAGAGAGGAAGAGAGAGAAGAGAGAGGAACAGAGAATTAGAAACATCGATGAGAGAGAATCATCGATGAGCTGCCTCTTGCACACCCCCTACTGGGGATGTGCCCGCAACCAAGGTACATGCCCTTGACCGGAATTGAACCTGGGACCTCTCAGTCCGCAGGCCGATGCTCTATCCACTGAGCCAAACCGGTTTCGGCGAGGCCCTGGCTCTGGATGGAAGCACCCTTCTCACTGTGCTGAGGCTAAACAGCCGCTGACGCTTTTCCCTCTCGTTCACAGAGCGGATTCACCAAGCGCAAGCGGCGGCAGCGAAAGCCAGGAAAGCCCTTCAGCAGAAACCCAAGCCCTCAGCTAAGGTGGTGAGTGACCAGCTGAGGGCCTGCTGCAGTGGTTTCAGCCGAGCCTGCCTCCGTGCCCGCGTGTTAAGTCTGCGCGTGGATCTCTCTCTCTCTCTCCTGCCCAGAAGTCCAGCAGCAAGGAGAGTTCACTGAAGGTCCTCAGCAGCGGCCCTTCTGAGCAGAGCCAGATGAGCCTCAGCGACTCCAGCATGCCGCCCACCCCTGTCACCCCCGTGACGCCCACCACGCCAGCTCTGCCCGCCACTCCCATCTCCCCTCCACCCGTGTCGGCAGTCAGCAAGAGTGGTCCTACCACTGTGCCAGAGCCGGCGAAATCCAGCTCCAGGTAAGCTCTCCTGTCTCCTCCCGCCCTGTCCCTCCACGTCCTCTCGGCGCGTCCTAAGCTGGTTGTGTCTGTCCCCCCTTTTCTCCCTCCCAGTGTCCTCCTGGTCTCCTCGCCAACGATGCCACAGCTGGGAACCATGCTCTCCCCAGCTGCCAGCCAGACGCCGCCGAGCTCCCAGGCCGCTGCCCGTGTCGTGAGTCATTCCAGCTCGGCGGGCCTCCCCCAGGTACGGGTGGTGGCCCAACCTGGCCTTCCTGCTGTCACCCAGCAGTCAGCGGGGCCAGCACAGACACTGCCGCCGATCCCAGCAGGCCCACAGATCCGCGTGCCAGCCACCGCTACACAGACCAAGGTCGTGCCCCAGGTAAGCGGGCACTGAGTCCCGTGGGCAGGATGGGTAAGCTGCTGCTGCTGTGTATGCCTGCTCAGTCCCTGTCCACAGCGGGGAGTGCTTGGGCAAGCTGTGCTTCAATGTAAATTGTACTTGACACGGTGAGGATCAGAACTTCTGAGAAGTTGATTGGTTTACCCAGGATGGTACCGTTAGGCCCCTCGTAGAGCTGGGGTTAAATCCAGGCCTGCGATTCGAAATCTGGGACTCCTCCCCCTGTGCCTCTAGTCTCAGCCACGCCACTGGCTAGTTGTGTGATTCTAGAGCAAAGCTTATCTTTGTCTCAGTCTCCTCTGCTACAAAATGGGCATGATATCTGTCCTCGGTGTAGGATGAGGTGTGAAGTGTGGAGGCAGTCTGAAAGTGAAAGACGCTGCACCAAGCAGGAACGTCACAGCGTCACTGTAGGGAGCGGGGAGCGTGAGCACTGCTCCCTGAGAAGCACTTCCGGAGGCACACTTGGTGGGTGGGTGGCGGCCTGGGCTGCCTCGTCGTCTCTAATCAAGCTCTTGGCCTCATGCTCTGAACCAGACAGTCATGGCCACCGTCCCAGTCAAAGCTCAGACCGCAGCGGCCACTGTGCAGCGGCCGGGAGCCGGGCAGACGGGACTCACGGTGACCAGTCTCCCTGCCACCGCCAGCCCTGCGAGCAAGCCAGCCACCAGCTCTCCCGGCAGCTCTGCCCCGAGCGCGTCCACAGCCACCGTCATTCAGAATGTGAGCGGGCAGAACATCATCAAGCAGGTAGGTGGGGCCGCCCTCCGGCCCGAGCAGAGGACAGTGCTGAGCTCGGTGACTCGTGATCGTGACCCTTAGTTCACAGGTATTTCCGGTTCCGTTCCCGCCAAGGGCAGTGCCGGCTCTGCGGGCGCTCAGATTTCTTTGCTCCTCTCCCTGTAATTCAGCATTTAGTAGCTGAATTTGCAGGAGCCTTTTCCATGAATTGATTGCGTTAAGATCCTGGGATATGTCTTCACGTGCTTTATCAGCATTTCAGTTTATTACTAGTAAAAAAGCATATATTTGTGCTTTCGTGGTTGTGCATATGCAAGGGTAACCATTGAGCTTCAAAGAATTGGGCAAAATGCAACTAGTGCCTGCACCGTGCCAAGCATATTATATTCATTAAATAAAGTAATACTCAGAACAACGTGGGGCAGGCACTCAGCCCATTTTATAGCTGAAATGGAACCACATAACGACGAAGGAACATTGTTCTTCATTAAATATTAGTATTTTTTGTATGCTGGGCGCTGTCTGGAGCGTTGGGGGGTTAGCCGTGTGTTGCACAAAGTCCCTCCCTCGTGGAGCCGGCTCTCCCATGGAGCTGGGAGACGGTGCCCCCCGGGGCAGGTGTGGGAGGTGAGAGCAGCAGTAGCAGTGGAGGGAGAGCGCATGTGCTGTGAGCTGGGCCAATCGGGGGCCTGGAGGAGCTGGCGTTTGAGAGGAGCGAGGCGGACAGTGTGCTGTGTTACAGACAGCTGGAGGTGAGCCACGCCAGGAATGGGCAGGGCCAGTGCAGCCGTCTTGAGTCAGGAACCTGTTTGAAGACCAGCAAGAAGCCCGTGTGGCTGAGGCCTCGTGAGCAAGTGCAGAAGTGTTGGAAAATGGCTTCTCGAGAGGTTGCTGGTTCAGTTGTGTCGTGCTTTGATTTTAATTCAAAGGTGATGGGGAACCTTTGAGAGATTGTGACTCAGGATGTCCTGACTTGTTTGACACTAAAGAAAGGCCTGGCTGCTCTGATGAATGGTCTTAGCGGGCAAGAGCAGAAGCAGGGAGATCAGGCCGGGGGCCACTGCATTGGGCCCTGTGACGGGTAACATTGGCCTCCTGTGAATGGTCGTCGCAGGGGGAGAAGGGCTGGGTTCTGAATGGAGGGTTCAATGTAGAGTCAGTGTGATTTCCTGGTGGCTTGTGGGGTCTGGGAGAAGGGAGTCCGTGGGTTTTGGCCAGAGTGACTGAGCAGATAGCGACGTCATTCTCTGAGATGGAAACCCAGGTGCAAAACGAAGGCAAGAGAGAGGGTGCCTCGTAAATGAGCGTGTGCATCAGGCGTGTGAGGCGCGTGATGGGAAGCCTGGGAACTGACACCACCTGGGGGTGGGTCATGCGTGAACTTGACTGGGTCCAGTGGCTTGGTGCCTTTTTGGGAATGTGTTCAAGAGGCAAGGAAATGGAGATGTGAAGGTAGAGACTTTTCAGAGTAATTTTGCCTTTGCAGAGAGCAGAGGACTGGGCTGTCGTGGAGATGCAAGGGGAGCGGAGCTGGGGAGGGGGATGGGGGTGAAGCGAGGGTCTGTGGTCCAGGATGGGAAATGCGTTGCTGGGTGGTGGTGTCCAGCAGAGAGGGGACAATGGCTCATGTGACAGAGCAAGTCCCCGAGGCCAGAAGGGCTGCGCTTACTACACTTGGCGCTTGGCCACGCTGCTGCTCTCTCCACGTGGAGGCTGGCACAACCCTAAGTAGACCTTTTTAGGACGGTAGCAGAAATGTGAATCTGTATTATTAGGTAATAATACTAGGTGTTTTTTTTAACTTTTTATTTAAAAACCTCTTTTTTAGGTTGGAGATAGGTACAGAAGTATTGATCAGCAAAGCACTATCAGTTTACTTAAAAATATTTTCACTCCTCGTTCTCTCCGCCTGCCCCCAACTTTTGAAGTTGGGTGATAGGTACATGGGTTTGTTACACTGTTCTCTTCTTTTGTGAGTATCTATCATATTTAAAAACGAAAAGCTAGAGAAATACATGAGACACAAATGGAGGTTTGCCTAACTGTGCGGTGTAACTAGTGCCGCGCTGTGGATCTCTCGGTCAGTGCCGTTTCTCCCCACCAGGTGGCGATCACGGGGCAGCTTGGTGTGAAGCCCCAGACAGGCAACAGCATCCCACTCACCGCCACTAACTTCCGCATCCAGGGCAAGGACGTGTTGCGCCTGCCGCCTTCTTCCATCACCACAGATGCCAAAGGCCAGACGGTCCTGCGGATCACACCGGACATGATGGCCACGTTGGCCAAGTCCCAGGTGACCACAGTCAAACTGACCCAGGACCTCTTCGGGACAGGAGGCGGCACGGCAGGCAAAGGCATCTCTGCTACCTTACACGTCACTTCCAACCCCGTCCACACCACGGACAGCCCCGCCAAGGCCAGCTCCGCCAGTGCCCCCGCATCCACTCCAGCGGGCACCACCGTGGTCAAAGTGACTCCGGACCTCAAGCCGGCGGAAGGCTCGGGGTCGGCTTTTCGCCTGATGCCCGCACTCGGGGTGAGTGTGGCCGACCAGAAGGGGAAAAGCACAGTGGCCTCGTCGGAAGCAAAGCCAGCCGCCACCATCCGCATCGTGCAGGGCCTGGGCGTGATGCCGCCCAAGGCCGGCCAGACCATCACCGTGGCAGCCCATGCCAAGCCAGGGTCCTCGGTGGCCAGCGGGTCTGGAACTGTTCACACGTCAGCTGTGTCCCTGCCCAGCATGAATGCCGCTGTGTCCAAGACTGTGGCCGTGGCCTCGGGGGCCGCAAGCACCCCCATCAGCATCGGCACGGGAGCCCCCACAGTGCGGCAGGTGCCCGTCAGCACCACGGTGGTTTCCACGTCCCAGGCTGTGAGTACCATTGGGGTGGGCACAACTAACCCTTCCACCAGGGACTGCTCCTCTTAGGAACGGAAATGTTGTACCCCTATTTGACCCAAACTAATTTATGAAAGCAGACATGCATACAGTCTTAGAGAATATTAAAACCTCCCAGAAGTTCGGGGAGTAAAATATTCCCAGAGTACTCCACGTGTGCTCCCCGAAAGGCCGTAGCAGCTTTCAGTCCAACCAGCAAGACTCCTGGCTGCACCAGGGCCGGTAGCACGTGTTGTTTGGACTGTATGGCTCTCTTACTCCTGAGAGAGTCCTTTTTCTGTTTGTGTCCCTGGTCTGTAGTGAGATTGAGCATCCAGTCCTGAGAAGACTGGCCATGCTCTCTAGCAGATAAATCATTGCCAGTTTTCTTTGGGGTTTTCTGTTTTTTCATAACTTGAGTGACTCTTTTTATCTTTGGGTGTTCTGTGTGGAAAGTATTTTTTCTTCCCCTCTGTCATTTAAAAAAAATTTTTTTTATTGATTTTTTTAGAGAAAGAGGAAGGGAGAGGGAGAGAGAGAGAGACATCAATGAGAGAAACATCATTGATCAGCTACCTCCTGCTCGCCCCCTTTTGGGGATCAAACGGGCAACTGGGCATGTCCCCTGCCCCGGAATCGAACCAGTGACCTACTGGTTCATGGGTCGACTCTCAACCTCTAAGCCACACTGGCTGGGGTCCCTCTGTCACTTTTTAACCTTGGAGCCCTTTGCTCTACAGGTATTTTATCTGATTGGCTCTGTATCAACATTTCTTTTATGGTTCCTGGGTTTTATGTCTTTTGCCTTTCTTACCCCAGGGTTATAAAGATAGCAGCTTGTATTCTCATAAAACATTTTCAGAGTTTTAAGAGCGGTATAGCCAATAACTCATTTGAAGTACAATTTTGTGAATAGCCTGTGGTTTTTTCAAATTATTCCAACATCACTAATTTACTGCTTCCCATTAACTCCAAGTGCTACATTTATCCTAAACCCAATTCTCAGGTCAACATAGGCGTGTTTCTGGATGCTTCTGTGTCCATTTAGCTTCTAGATCAGGAGCACTGCTGTGTATTTTATATGGGCAGAGAAAAACATAGTTGCCCTTTTTTAAACAAGCTATGTAGTAAAACCTCAATAGTTCGGGTAAAAACTGTAGTGATGGAGGAAGGAAGATATATATATTAGTAAAACCACCAGCCAATAAACCCTGATTTGGAGTATGGCTTAAAAGGAAATGTCTAGGTCCTCAGATCTCAGAAGTCAGAAGAAGGAAACGGCTTACTAGACCCTGAATCCTTCTCGTAACAGGGAGAGCTCCTGTCAGTGGCATCTCCCCTGTCATAACTGACCGGGATAAAAACCAGGCTGGGGCAGAAGGAGGTTTACAGTTGTTTGTATGGAAAAGAATATAGTAACTAATACACAATATACAAGTATGAACTGGTTGGCGTGCTCACAACTGCAAACATACCCCTCTACCCCATGCTGTGACCAGAGAGCGTCCAAAGTGTAGGAAGTGTTGCCTCTTGGTCAGCTGTCGGGAGGCTGGCTCGGGAAGGGACATTTCCGGTGGGTGTACTGGTGGTCTGAAATGTCCTTAAGAAACTAAGACTTGAAGAAAGGAAAACCACACGTCAGTCCACCCGAGGCGCCATTCTGCTGCCTGTTGGTGTTTTTCCATGCTTTCCAGTGGGCTACTCTGAGTGCCCGACTTCAGAACCAGCTGCCCATAGGACATGCCAGTGCCCTTTCTTGGCAGCCTAGCAGACCATCCCTCTTGAATAATTAAAAAATATATATATTTTATTGATTTCAGAGAGGAAGGGAGAGGGAGAGAGAGATAGAAACATCAATGAGGAGAATCATTGGTCAGCTTCCTCCTGCAGGCCCCCATTGGGCAAGCCCACAACCCGGGCATGTGCCCTGACTGGGAATCCAACTGTGATCTCCTGGTTCATAGGTCAACGCTCAACCACTGAACCCACGCCAGCCAGGCTCTATCAGCTTTGGGTTGGGCTTTTCACTTGGCTGACTTTGTTGTTGGTGTCCTTCACTCACCTCCTTATCTCTGGAGGAAGCGGAAGGCACCTGGACAGTGTAGCCGCCCCCCCTGGGGCACACCCTGCAGTGTTCCAGCGAAGCAGCAGCTGTGCACCTGCTAGTGCGAACTCCTAGTGCACCTGCTGTGTGAACTCCGAGTGCCCGTCCCCGCTCCCACTGCTTCCGACAGCTGCTGAGCGCCACGGGTCGGGGGCGACACAGATGAGTAAGGCTGCCCTCTAGGAGCTCGGAAGGGAACACACATCCTCCTCTGTAGGTTAGGAACACGTTTAATCCTGACGACAGCTGGATTGTCTGCTGCTGTAGGCAGCATGAAAGGATAGCGATCAGGCGGCCCCTCCGTATAGCACAGGAGCCCTGAACCACAGTGTGTGACGGCTGTTTCATGAGGCCTCCCTGGGCTGTACCACAGGAACGCAGGGGCCCTCAGAGCACAGGCGGCGAGAGCCTCTGGCGCTGGCCCCTCTGCTCAGCCCCGGAGGGGACACTGGTCTCCTCACCTGTGTCCCATACACTGGCTCCTCCTCCTCTCCAGGGGAAGCTGCCGACGCGGATCACGGTCCCCCTCTCTGTGATCAGCCAGCCTATGAAGGGCAAGAGTGTGGTCACAGCCCCCATCATCAAAGGCAACCTCGGAGCCAAGTAAGTGCCATCGGGAGGGAGGGCAGGGCTTCCGGGGGGCTCCCTGTTGCGGGTGTGTGTGTGTGTGTGTGTGTGGAGAAGCAGCTGGTTTCCGGGGGCTCACCCCGGGTACCTCTCCTTGGTTGTGCTCAACAAGGCGTATTGAGCAGCCAGGATTGTTTTAGGTGTTGGTACAGCGGTGATTAAAAGAGACAAAAGTCCATGTTGGTTTCAAGTGGGGAGCGAAATAGTAAAGTGAAATACTCTGTGGACGGTAAGGCGTACTATGAAGAAAAAGCAAAGAAGGGGACAGGCAGTGCCGTCACTGACACGGCTCAGGCAGCAGGTTGGACTGCAGCTGCTGGGAAGGCCTCATGTTTTTTGAGCTCGGTGGTATAAGTCAGAGGAGGGCAGCTTGTTGGAGCCTGGGCTTCCGTGGCCCTGACTGAAACGGGGCAGGGAGAAAGGATGCGATGGGATCATTCTGATGGTCTCAGGGCAGCAGTGTGGGGCAGGGGATTCTTGGCAAAAGGGCACGCCTCCCTGGAGCCTGTTCATTACTCCTGCTGATCAAGGGTCTGGATATCAGGGTCATTTTAGCCAAAGCACTGGGGCCTTGGGCTCGCCGTGGGAAGCATAGAAGGTGGAATCAGGTCCCCAGGTTTCCTTCCGTGCATGGCCTGATTCTGGCGGGAGCTAACACCCTGTCTTGCTTTCCATCCACAGCCTTGGTGGGTTGGGCCGCAACATCATCCTCACCACCATGCCAGCGGGCACCAAGCTCATTGCGGGCAACAAGCCTGTGAGCTTCCTCACTGCCCAGCAGCTGCAGCAGCTCCAGCAGCAGGGCCAGGCCACCCAGGTGAGGCCAGGCGCGCTGCGGGCCACTCCGGGTTCTCTCCTCTCCTTTGCTGGCCGCTCCCAGCCGATGAGCCTATTGGCAAGCTGCTGACCCGACGTTCCCTTTGCAAACAGGTGCGCATCCAGACTGTCCCCGCGTCCCACCTCCAGCAGGGAACAGCCTCAACTTCCTCCAAAGCGGTCTCCACGGTGGTTGTGACCACAGCTCCGTCTCCTAAGCAGGCACCTGAGCAGCAGTGACTCTGAGAAGCAGCTTCCGTCAAAGCCCAGGCCTGCTCCGCCCTGCAGGCCGACAGGAAGGGCGCAGGGAGGTCCCTCCTTCCTCTGAGCTCCTGTCTCGGGCAGGCCCTCGGTGGGCTGCCATCTGCTGCCACACCCCCCGAGGAGGACACTGAGGAAGGCTCGCTCCAGGTCTGTTGCGTACGGACCCAGGGACTGTGTGAGGTCAGTGGGTCACACAAGCTGGGGGGAGCGCAGACAGCGTCCACGCTGTTCTGTACGTGGCTTGTACCTCTCAGCGTGTGGTCTTCTCCGTGACGAGTGGTCTGGAGAGGAGTTTTGTCTCCAGAAATTTTTATGTAACTTATTTTTTTTTTAAGAGCCTATTGTACATCTTTGTCAAATAGAAACCTGGGCGTTAGCCCCCTAAATGGATTCATTCTTTTGGCCAGAATGTGAGAAAGGCAGAATTCTAGTAAGTTGGCTGACCTGGATAACTCCATGGAGAGGCACTAAGATGAGAAAGAAACATAGGAAGTGGGGGGATTGTGTGGATTCTCTGATATGGGACTAGCTGGGCACTGCCTCTTAAGGTGGGGTGTCAGGATCCCGGCTGTGGGCTGTTCTCTCCCTGCTGGCTGTCCTCAGCAAGTCTGCTCACACATGCCCAGGCTGGTGGGCACAGCAGGTGGATGCCAGCAGGGACGCTGCTCTTGCAGCACAAACTGTATTTCATATTTCAGTTCAGAGACTCTGTATTCTGCTTTGCTCCAGAACAAGAGTCAGCAAGCCACCGCCCTTAGGCTGGCTTCCCGTTTTTGTAAATAAAGTTTTATTGGAACACGGCCCAGGCCCATGCGTTTATGTACTGTCTATGTCTATGCTTTCAGTTAGAATAGAAGCAGAACTGAATAGATGCCACATGGCCAGCAAGTCTAAAATACTTTGTGTGTGGTTAAGTAAGACTTTGCTGACTTTTGTTCCAGAGACGGGTGTCCCTCCTGGATAGCACCAACTGAAAGGTGAGTGTAGGTATGAACGTTATTTAATCCTGGCTGTTTCCTAGTTCTCTGCCCCACCAAGCTACAGGCAGAGAGCGGGGCATGCTGCTTCAATGAAAGCACTGGTTGGTAAGGATACATGCCTCTTCTGTGTCGGAGCAAAGCCTTTCTGCAGGGCCAGAGCTTCCCTGACTCCTGAAAGAACACAGATGACTAAAATGGTATTTTAATCTGTTGAAATCTAGCGCTGATACTTTACGGAGTCTGCGTGCGGAAGTGGATCCGAGGGAGTGGGAGTGGCCTGCTTCAGAGGGTGAGAGTGGAGGGACCGGGCAAATTGTTGAGGGGCAGATGCCTTTTGATGGCTTGGTGGTTGTAGGGACATCTCATTGGATTCCTAAGGAAGTTCGGTGAACCAGTTACCTTGTTTTAACTGGGAGGAAATCCGCATTTCAGCTGGAGTTAAAGAGAACCAAGATGTAAGTCCAGTCTTTGGATTCTAAGTCGGGTGCCCTTTCTGCCGCCTTCCTAAGAAGGGAGTGGCCGTGATGTGTTGTGGTGAGACTTGGGGACAATCCAGAGCTGAGGGTGGTAAGTCTGGATGACAGAGGACAGGTGAGCCGGCCGAGGCGGGATTGAGCTCGGGAGGGGAGTGGAGAGCTGGACAGGAATGGATGGGAAATGGCCAGAGGTGGGACTGCAGTGAGGAGACACTGTTCCTCCCTGCTAAAGGCGGCTGCACCTGCTATTTCATAATACTCTGGTATTTGCTTGGCATTACTCCCTGGAGTCACATTGCACATGGAAAGTTCATGTGACAGGCTCCGAGTGAGAAACAGGTAGAAATTTGAGGAATCCTGTCTTGGGTGTTGACTGCTGGTTAAAATACACTTCCTCTGAATTTATTTAATGATTTCATAAAAGTTCTGGCATTCAGCCCCAACCCCACCCCACCCTGTTATTGACTGAAATTACTGACCGCTCCTTTTCTTAGTGGCTGCAGACTGACATCTGAAGGGAACAGGGCACGGCTGAGCCCCGGGAAGTGAGATGGGTCCTGGCCAGCCTGTCGGTGGAGTACACACCGGAAACCCCCCCTTGGAGTTGTTCAGGTGACGTCACCAGCATTTGCACCAAACATGGGTCCTAGGGGCACACCTGGGGCCATGAGAGATGTGGTGGCTGCGGGGGTATTTGGGGGGACAATTCCAGAAGGATCTTTGAGCCTCTGGTGGACAGAAGTTGGCAAAATTAAAAAGACCAGATTTGGTGCGTAGCGTTGTGAGGGGTTTGTATTGTAGCCAAGAATGTTTATGTTAGTGGTCATTTCTGTGACGGTGTCCCAGCCATGCTGGGTGGAGCATTAGAGTAAACTTGGATGTTTTATATTGGATCTTCAACCTCACTCCCTTTGAGAGCATTGCTTTGAAAGACCCAGAGTAGGTTCCTCCTTCCCATCTCCAGTCCCCGAGGGAAGGACATGTTTTACATTAATTGCCAATAATGGGTCCTCTAGTACTCGTTGAAAGGATGTTGGGTTTTATTCAGCAGGCAAACCAAAGTGGATTGCCTCTCAGTATTAAGTCTGAGTTTTCAAAGAGCTCATTCTCCTTCTGGAGGCTGTGCCTCCAGCTCTAAGTGATGGCTGAGCATAGCTTTTCTCCCAGGCTGCCCAGTTCTTAGGGGAAAAGACCCCCAGTGCTCACCTCGGTGCTCCACGGGAATGGTCACTGCATTTGTGTGACGTAGCAGAGGGAAAGGCGAGAGGCAGGCTGGCTGGAGTCCTCCTGAAATCTAGTTCTACAACATAGTAACCTTACACCGCTCATCTCCGGAGGAACTAATGTATTTCCGGTATAGGTGGTCGTGAGAAACAAATAAGATATACTTCAGAGTCTGAAAAGTGCCAATTGAATGGTACTATGTGGTCTATACGGTAATTTGTCCTAACCCGCCTTTATCCATTCATGGTCTTTTCTCTCTGCCTACAATGTGCCTTTTCTATGGGCAAGCTCCTCCCTCCTTTGTCTCATGGTGGTTTCACTTACCAGCATGGCCTCAGTCACCTTGTATGAACTGCCTGCATAGTTCCCCATTAGACTGAATTCCTTGCTGGGCACATAGTTAATCCTTACCACCATTCCAGTCCTGGTGCAGAGGAGATGGTTAATAAGCCCTTGTTGAAGGAAGCTTAAAAAACAAACAAACAGAACCAAGACTAGAGTATCAAGATTGTATTACCAGTTCCAGCTTCAGATCCTTTGCGGGATTCTTGTCCTTTGCTTTCCGCTGTGTTTAAAGTCAAGGCCTTCCCTGACCTGACATTCTCTCTCCCTCTCGGTTACAGCTATCCTGTCAGCATCTTCTCATGAGGGCACTTTTGAGGAGTCAGACCATCTGACTTCCAGCTCTCCTCTGGGCCACTAACTAGCTTCCTGATTTTAAAAATAAAATTCACCTTTGGCCCAACTTAGTCACTTACCAGCAATGGTATTGCAGTACTCTGAAGTGTCATGATTAGTTAAGAGATGTTAACAAGTGATGTGTTAACACCAAAACATGTGGAAAACATGTGGAATACTACTTTTAAAAGTACATACTAGACTTGAATCTCTACAAGAAAGGCACTGTCATTCACTTACTTCCTAATAAGAAAGTACCTGCTTTCTTGGGATGAAAAGAAGGGATAAGTCATCAACAGCAGTGGGTTCGGCTGGATTCAGATCCTGGATTCGTCGATGAGGCTACATGCTGTTCTGACACTTCAGAGTCTGATTTCTCTTCTCTCTGAGACATAAAGGCTTGCTTCATTTTCTTTATAAAGGATACCGCACCAACACGGTCTTCAGCCATTAAATGAGAAGGTGCAAATATAGAGCACCTGAAGGGCAGACCAGAGCAAGCATTAACACGGAGATGAGCTATGCCTGTGCCACTCAGCTAGCCCTGCTCAAGGGGACACATCCACCCCGTTTGTGACCGATGGCCCCTTCTCATTCCTCGTCGTCGGAGCCATTCAGGAGGGCCTTCTGACAAGTAGGTTCAGACTTCAGCTTCTGAATGCCAATGATTTCTCCTCCTCTGTGCCTCTTGAGCCGGGTCAGGAGGCTGTGATAGAGAAACGGTAACAAGTCAGCCCCCAAACTCCCCATTCCTTCACTGAAGGATGTGAAGGCATCTAATGGTTCTTCAAGCATTTACTTTCGTAAATATTGTAACTTCTCAGTACTCATTGGTAGATAAAGGGATCGTGGTTAATAACACTTAATAGTTATTGTTGTAATTGAGACTAAACTTGGGTCTCCTGCCTCCCTTTTTATTTCTGCACTGATCAGGCAGTAGAACGAATAGACACTATGACCTTGAGTTGCGTTCTGTTTGGTCTGCCCGGAAGTCTCTCTGGGTGAAGTGTATCTGCTTTGGTAGGGAAATCAGGAGCCAGGGACGGAGAGAGGGGCAGCTAAGGCAACAGCTAATGCCACAGCCACTCCAGCACTGTGGTTAAGGACTGGAGCTCTGCCATTTGCTCGTTGGGCGACCTTGGTCACATTAGTCTGTTGAAGCCTTGGCTTTCCTGTCTGGAAAACATTACATATTTCACAAAGAGATAAGGATTAAATTGGGCAGCGTATGAAGTGCTGCCCATGGTGCCTGGGTACTGTTTGCTGTCCTCTTGGAAGAGCACTTCAGCTGCGTGGTGTCCTATCTGATTGTCGCAAGGCCCCATGGGAAGTAGGCGATGGGCTCGAAATGAGCAGGGACAAGAGCAGGACTGCAGGCCGGTGCAAGGTTGCCCAACTAGCAAATGTTTTCTGTCACAGCCCAGTCCTGAGCTCTGTCAGATCTGCCTCTGCAGCCTGCATCTGTCCCAGGTTACTATGACCAGTCAGACCCTTAGCCTTCTCAGAGCCCCATCACCCTCATTCATAGTCTAGAGCAGCAGTCGCCAGCCTCTTGGACCTCAGGGACCACCGCTGGTCTAGATAACCTGGCACAGGACTCGGCATTTAGCTGGTACTTGTTAAGTGGTAGGAGTTAGTTGGGAAAGGGATCCCTGGAGTTAAAAGTGGTGCAGGGGGTTGGTAAGGAAGGAAAACCTTGCCGGAAGTCTCGGGGACGTACCAGTGCACGAGAGCGTAGTTAATGCCCACGACGCAGAGCGCAGCCAGGTAGTGCCAGCAGAAGCACATGGTGATGAACATGAGGTTCGCGTGATTCTCCTGGTCCCACTGCGGGCTTCCGAAGGGCGGGAACAGCACAAACCCAATCTGGTGGGGCACACAGAGAAGACAGCCTGTCGTTAGCCGCCTCCTTCCGTGGTTACCAAAGGCACTGGGGCCGCATTCCCCACGCCTGCCTTAGCGTGGAAAGACGTTTTGCACGGGAGAATGGCTGGGTTAATTCTGGTTTTAGCGAAGGCTTATTTCCAACCAGATTTTCAGGTGGACAGTTCAGCAGGTGGAGCCTGCTGATGGTATCAGCACCTCCATGGGGAGGGCGGATGGGGAAATGGTTAGTCTGCTCGCTGTGTACGCTCCATAGACTCTGCTTAACGCATCGGCAGGCTGTTCATGGGTACAGCTCCCCAGGTCCAGGGGCTGCCGTCTAAGTCCACCCACGTGGCATGTCGGATTTCACCTGGACGCGCTCCGGGGGGCCCCCTCCGTCTGTACAGCGATAGGAGCAGTGTTTTGGGTAATTACCTGCCAGAACCAGGTGCCTTGAAGAATAACGAGCGAGGTTCGGAAAAGTTCCAGCACAATGTTGTCCCGAAGGATCACCTCCAGGAAGATGCTGAGCGCCCCTCCGAACACGGCGCACAGCAGCAGCGAGTGGATGTACTGGTCCAGCGGCGGCCGGTTGTGGACATGGTGGTAGAAGAGGAAACCTGCCCCAGAGCCAGGCACGGCCGTCAGAGGTGCCCGTTTCCACGTCACCCCGCACACCCCGTTATAGAATGTCCTCAGCCAGGGTCTCCTGCCCTTGGGAAGTCAGTGTATGGAACATTACAGGACAAGCAATGTCAAATGAAATCTGTGTGTGTGCTGCCCCAGCCGGGTGGTTCAGTGGTCAGCGCCAACCTATGAACCTGGAGGTCACGGTTCAATTCCCGGTCAGGGCACATGCCTGGGTTGCGGGCTCAGTCCCTAGTAGAGGGCATGCAGGAGGCAGCTGATCAATGATTCTCATCACTGATGTTTCTATTCCTCTCCCCAACTCTGAAATCAATAAAACTATATTTAAAAAAAAAAAAGTGTGTGTGTGTAAAGTAGGTATAAGCAGCAAAGGATCTCTTTTTACAGAATTGATGGTAGGGTTTAATACAGGATGGGTAAGTGAAATATTGCTAATTGGTGACATATTATGTGTGTGTTTACTTGAAACTCGGTTTTGCCTTCATGTACCTTTTTTAAACTCTTCCTGAGATAACGGAAGTCAGTGAGGTTGCTGGATTACAAGATTTTTTTATTTTTTTTTTTACAACCCCATTTAACGTGGTGGGTCTCCTATTTGTGATGGAGTCCTGGCAGTGACACTCTGGGTGGGGGCTGGAGTGCGGAATTTCTCTTCCCAAACCACAGGGAGTCAAAATCTGGTGTGGTGGCAGTCACCCCGTCTTCAGACAGTTCTTGTGTTTACGTGTGGATGTGCGCACATACACTCACACGGATGAGGGGGCGAGGGGAGGGCAGGGAGAGTTTGTACACTCCTAGCCAGTGACTGTGCCTAAAAGCCTTATGCTTTCCTGGGTTCTTTAAAAAAAAATTTTTTTTTAATTGATTTCAGAGATGAAGGGGGGAGAGGGAGGGAGAATCATCAATGATGAGAATCATTGAATGGCTGCCTCCTGCAAGTCCCTCACTGGGGATCGAATCCGCAACTCAGGCATGTGTCCTGGCCGGTAAGTGAACCATAGGTTGGTGCTCAATCACTGAACCTCAGTGGCCGGGCCTTTCGTGGGTTCTTTAAGGAATATGTCACCTATACCAGTGGTCGGCAAACTGCAACTCGCGAGCCACATGCAGCTCTTTGGCCCCCTGAGTGTGGCTCTTCCACAAAATACCACGGCCTGCGCGAGTCTATGTTGAAGAAGTGGTGTTAGAAGAAGTTTAAGTTTAAAAAAATCTGTACTGTTGATATTTGGCTCTGTTGACAAATGAGTTTGCCGACCACTGACCTGTGCCATCCAGAGCATAGGACTAAGCCTGCTTGGTTATTGAAGCTCAGAGAGTGGGATTTTTCTGGGGAAGGGTGTTCTGTTTGTGATCGCTCTGGTGTCCGTGCCTAGATCTCTCCTAACCACAACTTGCCAGTTTCTTCCCTGTTCCTTACCACTAAGTTACCTTCGTTGAAGGTTGCCACAGCCATCACCAGCCTGTCAACCCCCAAGGGCACGTGACTGACGAGGTAGGTGAGCATGTCCGTGATTCCGGAGACTGCGAAGAACAGGTACATGGTGCTGTGCTGCCAGTTCATCAGCTTGATCCACTCTTTGTCCGAGTACAGGTGGAAGTGGGGCCCATCCGGGACAAACTGCTCTGCCAGCATCCCTGCAGGGAAGCGAGAATGGAAATTAGGGGAGAGTAATTCTAAGACAATGGGAGAGAAGCCAAAGACAACCCCGAATCAGGAGTGGCCCTACTCTGCTACTGCTGTCTAAAGTAAGGTCTTGGCTGTGTAGGAACCTGAGTTGCTGTTCCTTGGACGAGGGCATGTGGAGGGAGGAGGAGCAGCCATGGAAACGCAGCCACAGAGCACAGAAAACTTCCGGGAGCTGAGACGGAGGGGAGGCATTGTCACCTCAGCGCGAGGGTGGCAGTTAGAACTTAATCCTGGGGCTCCCTCTGCCCAGGGAGCAGGGAGAGAAAGCCTGGAAGGAAACCGTTAGGTCAGGAATAATAGTCTAAGCAGACACTGGTGATGGAGATACTTGTGCACGCCCGAGGGAGACTGCTCCCAGTGGCTCTGTGGTCCCCGCTCCTTCCAAAGCCTTAGGTTTCAGTGTTCTACACGTCACTTGGGGGGTTCCCCCATACTGTGTCCCCGGAGAGGCAAGCTTCATGTCCTCAGTGTGGGTCTCGGTTCTCCCTCCTACTGTCACCTGCTTTGAAGGCGAAAGCTTTGCCTTTACGCCTGGTGCCCAGAGTGTTCTTGGGGCTACAGTAACTTCCACGACACATTCGGGACCCTGCTCCCCAAACCCAGCCCCTGTCTGAATGTCCGCATAAAGGATCCAGGAGTGGGTGAAAACCCAGGAAAGGGAAGTCCCATCAGAGCTGGAGGCCAGCTGTAGTTCCCCACTGTGTACCCCTTTATCTAGATCGGTGAGTTCCTGGCACATAGCGAGAGCTCAGGAAATCATTGGTGAAGGAGGTGTTTTTACCCAGACACAGTTTTTTAGCTTTGCTTAGGCCGATACCAGTTAAGCCATGTGGTCCCTGCTTACGCCTCGGCTCCAGAGAGATGAGAAAGCCTTTCTGATGCGCGAGCGGCTGGTGAATGGGCAAGTCCAGCTGGACCAGGAAACAAAGCTATGTTCTGTGCCAACTCCCAGGGAAGCCTCTGGCCTGGCTTCAGCTGCGCCCAGGAAACCGGAGATGGTGGGTGGCAAATGCCATTGCCGAGTAAGGTCCCTCGCTGGTACCATTCACTCTTCCTGGGCCGCCAGCAGAGTGGCATAGATGAGGAGGAAGTGGGTGAATTTTGTAGGGAAAGGCACCATAAAGGAAGATCCCTCTCACAGCCTCTGTGGGCTTCTTTCTGTCTCTTCCGCTGCCTCTGACTAGCCCCAAGCAGAACACTCCTCCCTCTACCTGCTTGAGGTTTGGGGTGGAGGATATGCCAATGAGTAGGTCTTTACTCTTGAGATTCTAGAGGAGAGGCAGTTGGGAAAAAGATTTTTCTAAAACTCCATTTAGTCTTCTCATAACTCAGGAGCTTACTCTCTTAATTTGTTCTTTTTTCTACTTTGGTGTTTTGCCCTTTTCATCAAGTATATCTTCTGTTCCTACAACTATGTCTTTCTAGGGTAGTTGTTGGCAAACCGCGGCCCGCGAGCCACATGCAGCTCTCTGGCCCCTTGAGTGTGGCTCTTCCACAAAATACCACGTGCGGGTGGGCACGTACAGTGTGATTGAAACTTCGTGGCTCATGCGCAGAAGTCGGTTTTCGGCCTGGGCGAGTCTACTTTGAAGAACTGGTGTTAGAACCCGCAAGGGGCCAAAGAGCCGCATGTGGCTCGCCAGCCGCGGTTTGCCGACCCCTGTTCTAAGGCCAAGGATGTCATTTACTTGGTACTCTCTCTCAGTGCACCGAGATGCGAGGCACCGTTCACTGTCGATACCACAAAGTTGGGTGCACAGCAGATATTGCGGTGAAATGTTCAGTGGCTAATGGACAGCCCGTTCTCTATTATCTCTGCCCTGGGAGCCGTCCATCCACCGGGCCCAGAGAGGGGGCTGGAGGCTCTGGGTGTGATGGGGGATCCCCTGGACCCCGAGGCCCCCCTCCTTACCAATGACGGGAAATAACGTCCTGATGGCCGCCTCAATGATCTCCAGACGCTCATAGTTATGCCTCGGTTGGCCTCTTCTCCCCTTTCGGTGAAAGTACTTTAGCGGGTACTTGACCGACCACCACAGCCCGACGATCAGGAAGAAGCTGCCCGGGAGAGCGTGGCCCTTGAAGTTTGCCATCGGGGCCCTGGGTCACCTGAAACACAGGGGCAGCTGTCAGGTGGCTGAAGGAGGAAAACAAGTGGGTATCTTGGCAGGAAATACAACATGTGACTGCCGAACTGGTTTGGCTCAGTAGGTAGAGCATTCGATTCTGGTCAAGGGCACGTACCTTGGTTGCGGGCACATCCCCAGTAAGGGGTGTGCAAGGAGGCAGCTGATCGATGAGATTAAAAAAAAAATAATAAAATAAAAGGATTAATACGTACTATTGTATTTCTCTCTCATTGATGTTTCTAACTCTATCCCTCTCCCTTCCTCTCTGTAAAAAATCAATAAAATATATTAAAAATACAACATGTGACTGAGGAGTCCAAGTCACAAGCCGTATGGAGAAGGGCCCACTCATTCTCATCAAGTGGGTCTGTGTCCTGTCACCAATGTCTGACCC